AGTGACATCATCACCCAACCCAGTAAGGGTAAGGGGCGTCGGAGCCGAGCCCCGAGGGGGCGGGAGGGCAACGGGATTGCGGTGGGCGGCACTGGGGCACCGGGTCAAAACCCCCGGGGAGGGAACCACGCACGGGCTCGACGTGGGCACCGCGGAAGCCGCGGGCTCTCCGGCGCTAAATCAACCCACTTGGGCTGGGGGAGGGGAGAAGCAAATGAGAAGAGGAGAGAAAATAATGACATATTTAATTAGGCGTTCGGCGAGGCGGGGGCTGCCGGCGTCGGGCTTCCCGGGATTGCCCCGTCCGGGCTCGGCGCTGGGCGGCCCTCTCGCCCCCGACGGCTCGCACGCAGGAATCGCTGTGTGCCGGAGTCGTTATCATTTTTGTTAACTTTTTATCGACTGTTTGCTAGATGGCATGTCACTAAAGTGTATGATTTGAGATGAAAAATTAGACAGATTAACCCGAGGGGAGAGCCTGATTGATTACTAAATAGGATCAATTTGAAAGTTTTAGTCATAACGTTTCTGTAGAGCCCCTTAATACTTCAAACTTCAATTTTACGGGCTATTGAACTAAGCATGTTCCTGACAAAATTGATATATGTATTAATTTGCTTTAACTGTTGATTAATTACTCTCCACTGAAAGAATTATATGGAGCTGTTTGCCTCAGATTTGCATATTAATCAAATTCTAGTTGATAATTCAGTTGGTGCGATGGATTTGGAGATGGGAGGGGGGCAGCCGGGGCAGGGCTCGCAGGAGAGAGAGGGAGAAATATGGATATCGCCTATCCCTGCTTCCTCCCCAGGTTTTCCATCTCCACTCCCCACCCCTCTGCTCCCCTCACTGCTTAGCTGCCAGTTAGTGCATTAAAACCAAAGATGCAGAACGCGTTACCCCGGCTATTTGGTGAAAACAGAAATTGCCTGTCCGGTTTTTATGATGTTCTCAGCCTGAGAAGGCTGCGCTTTAATGTGTCCTGTCAAAATGTCTGGGATTTAAAGGGAAAACGGCGCAATTTAGCGGTGGGTAATTAATGACGAAGCGGCCGAGCGGTCGGGATGGCACCGTCCGTCCGTCCGTCCGTCAGTCCGTCCGTTCCCCGCCGCCCCCCTCCACCCTTCCTCCGCGGACTCTCTCCCATCCCCTTCGGTCCGCGGATGGTGAAGGTCCGACTCCTTCAACTTTTGGTTCCCCTCAAACACACGGATTCAAAGGGTAACGGTGTAATTAAAACCAGATAATTAATGAGACAATATTCCTTCCGCTTACATCTTTAATGAACAAAACCCTTCAGGGCCGGCGTGCTTTTCCAGCCTCATTAAAGAGAATAAAGTTGCGGGGCTTATGTACTTCCCGGTATGTTAATAACAAACCGGCGGCGTATGCTTCAAAAAAGCGGCGCTGCTGATGCTTCCCGTACCTCGGAAGAATCTCTCAGAGCCTTCTGCGAAGCGTTCCGAGTCTTAAATGCTCAGCAAGGCACAACGGGTGCCGCATCCGAGGGGCTGCGCGGCGCGGCGCGGATTCCGCGCATTTCAACCGCCCCAAAACGCGGAGGAGCAAAGAGGGAGCAGCGCCCCGCGCCCTGCCAACTTTCTGCAGCACTTTTTCGTTCCCTCGCCCATCCCCCTCCCTCTCCCCCTCCTCTCCTCGGTGTTCCAGGAGCGCGCACCGAACCCTTTTGTTTATTTCCGTGTATATTTAAGAAAATAACGGCCCTGGGTTTAATGCCGAGAATATACGGCTGCTGCGCGCCTCCACCCGCTGAATCTCCTTGTTTCCTCCCAGATCCTTCCCGTGGAAGCTCCCGAGGTAATATTTCCTTTTTAGTGCTTCGCGAGCTTCTAACTCAAATTGTTATTGCTTCCCATTTTTAAAGTTTACTTAGCAAAAGGGCCGGCCAACGTGAGCTGCGTGCGAGCTCGGAGAGGCGGAGGGGCCTCGCCTTCAGCTACACTGCGCGAGTGGGGAGGGATAGGGGCTTTTAGGGATGAGTTATACCGCAATCAGCTTAGTAAATCTGCATGCAGAAAGGATGCTAATTAGTCTTAATAGTCTACCAATATGCCCCAAGACTGGAGACACGACGACGTAAATCTGCTACCGATAAATATTTTTAATTGTTGAAATTGAAGCGGGAAGAAAGAGCGCGTTTTCCGTCGCAAATGGTGAGGGATGCGGTGGGATCCGCACCGCTGCCGGGGGGGGGGTCGGTGCCCCCCCACCCCGCTCCCGGCCACCCACACCCCGTCCCCCCCGTCGGGAGGAGGGGGAGAGCCCGCTTATAGCTCGTGCTCGGCGAAATTAGTGATGTATCACGTTAATTACCAGTGTGATCTTCAAATGGTTGCAGGCCCAAGGAAAATTAATGGAAATCCAAATTCTAATTATGTGGCTGGTGTTAAAGAGTCGAACTAAATACCCGGGAAGGGAAATTGGATGATAATGTGGAAATATGCTGCGTTTTCTGGTTATTGCATCACGAAACCTTAGGAATGCATCAGCAGAGACACCGCCGGGAGATGATCTTCGGGGAGACGACAGGGGGCGGGGGGGCACCTGGGACAACAACGAAAAGAGGGAGATATTCCGGAACCCGCTCGCTGTGCGCCCCTTTGTGTCCCCGAGGAGGGCTTTTCCCTGCCCCCAAACCCGGAGCTCCCCCCGGCTCGGGCGCAGCGCACTCATTGCAGATGGGGAAACTGAGGCACGGGCGCGCTGTGTCTCCGGGGCTCTCCCCTGTCCCCCCGGTCCCGCCCCGCAGTCTCCCGGCAATCGCGCGCGGAGGGCTAATTAATTATCACAATTAAGCTTTCGGGTCCCGGGGCTGAAACCTACGGAGAGGAGGGTGAGGAGAAAAGCGGGGTGGGGGGACCGAGAGCGGCGGTGCGCGTCCTACCCACGCGTGTCCCCGGGGGGGGACGGGGACGCGGCCACCTGCCCACGGCGTTAACCCTTTGCTCGCCGGCCGCCTCGGGGTCCCGGCTTTCAGCTCTAAGATCTCCGCCTCATCCATCACCGAGTTAAAAAAAAAAATCAACGGGGGAAAGCAATACAGACAAACACATCAAGACTCGAGAGTGGCGACCCTTGGAAAAGCCGAGGTCCAACCAGATATGAATCATTTTTCTTTGCATACTTTAAAGGAATTACTCGTGATATGCACGGCTGTCACTGCAAACTACATTTATGGATTTGCAAGTCATTTCCATAAATCAGCTGCATTGGATCCATCAGAAGAGCAGAGCCCGGCGTCGGTGCGAAGATGATGGAGCTCTCTTTGAACGTATAATGAAGTGTTCCAAGGGCTGCAGTTATTTTTCTGCTTGTTAAGGATTTTTTTTTTTTTTTTTTAAGGGGGAGGGGGCCCTTTTCGAATTTGATTTTAAATTAAAATGTCGCCAAGAGATGTTTTATTGGTGATCACCCTTATGATAAATTTATGCTTCAATAATTACTTTTCACGGGGTATCGATTTCCTCTGGCAAAAGCCTTTCTCCCTCCTTCTGAACCCGTCTCCCATCTCCTGAACATGGCGGCACTCCCCCCCCTCACTGCAGGCAGGCAGAGCTGGGGGGGTGGCTGAAGTTCAAGTCCGAGCCCATGGCTGTAGGTGGAGAAGGGAATGTCCCCAGGCTGCTGCTCTGCAGCTCCCATAGGATTACAAGGTCTCTGAAGTGGTGGTGCCCGATTTACCCCCTCTGCCCACACTCCACACCTTGAGCTCATGGGGATCCAGGCAGTCACAGAGGATCCCTGGTGAGCTCATGGCACAAAGCACTGCTGGGGCCCAAATGTGGCCCTGTGTGTAGCACGGGTGCTCCTTCCCTTAAGTAAGTACAACGCTGATATGCCTCTCGGCTCCCCCTCACCCCATTTATTATGGAGAGAACGTCCCCCTGGGCAGGAGTTCACCCTGTGCTCAGAGGACAGAGCAGAGGGCCGGGAGCACAGCTGCCCATGCCAGCTCCTAGGAGGGCCCTCTCACGGGGTTTCCCTCTTCGCCCTGGCAGCAGGCCACTGTGCTCCTCTCCCATTTATATTCTGCTCCCTTCTCTCAGAGCAAGGACAAAGTATTTGGTAGAGAAGTGGTGTAGTAGTGAGGCTACCTGGTCCCCAAGCACAGAAGTCACAGCCACGCTCAAGAGCTGTCCTTGCTCACATGTTGGAACTCGTGGCTGTGGACATGTGGGTGGGTACATCGCTGTGCCCACGGCACGATTTTCAGCACAAAAAAGGAAATTGGGAGTGTGCAGAGCATGCTCTACTCCTCCAACCCTACCCAAGCATTTGGGCAGAGGTGGTGGTGGGGTTCCCATCACTTGTGGGAATCCATGGCATGAATACCTCTGCCCCAAACACGGGCTCTCCTCTAGTTCCCAGGTTGCCACGGTGCTAATTAACTTGGCTGCTAATTTACCTGCCTTACCAGCATCCCTCCCCTCCGAGCCCACATCCCGAGGGAAAACAACCCTCCCGGGACAGCATCCCGAGGGCTGCACCCGGACGGTACGGTTCAAAGCAGTGAACTGGTGGCTGCGGGGGGGGTTCGGGCTCAGCTCAGCCTTTCCCTGCGCTCAGCCTTGCCTGGATCGCAAAGCTTGGGCGAGGGGGACCTCTGCAGGCTGCGGCTCCTGCAGCTCTCTGACTGCATCGCACGGCGGGATGGAGCAGGAAGGGCTTCCTCCTGAAAGTTTATTATTATTATTACTATTAGGGAAAGTAATTTTACAAAGCTAAAAAGCAGAGGGTGTTGGCAAAATATCTCTTTCTGGGGTATTCCCATCCCACTGGCACAAGCGTCAGTACAAAGCCAGCATCACGCTGCCTGTAATCAGCTGCTATTTCTCATTCCTTAAAAACACTGTTTTATGATCCACTAATACTTTTCTCAGATAATTCCATTTGTTCCTCACCTAACTCAAACCACAGCCCTTAATCTCTTGATACTAATAGCTTTTATTTCTCTCACTTCCTTTTCTTTTTCTTTGCTCTGCCGGAGAAATCAGCTGCAGTGCCCATGAGCAAGGCTGCAAAACAGCTCCTGCCTTCAGTCCTCACGCTGTGCCCATCCCAGAGTGCAGAAACCATGGCCCAGAGTGAAGGGAATTTGCCCCTCACCTTTCTGCGACCCTCTTTTAAAGGGTTTGGCACAGCGTACCTCACTCCTCTGCCAATGGCATCCTCAAAGCCAGGCATGAGAGGTCAGCAGCTCTCCCCAGAAGGCCCCAGTATCCCCATGCTCATGTCACTGCAATGGGACCGGGGGTCTCTATCACTCCTACAGGGTGATGGTCCCATGCTGCACTCTGGCAAAGGGACACCCAGCGTCTTGTTTTCTTGAGCCTTGACTGCCACCCAAGTCAGGAATCTCCCTTCAAAGGAACAGGGCTCAAAGAATCCATTTCTTAGGCGGAGATTCAGAAGGCACACAGCTGACATCAGCCCTAGAGATGGAGAAGTGCAGTCCCTATTCCTGATCTTCCCCATCTACAATGACGAGAATGCTTGCTGTTCCGGCAACCTCCCATTGCATTTGGTACTATAACCCTAAAAGCAACCAGCCGTAGCTGGGAGGATGAACAGAGAGCTTTGAAAGTTTCTTATCCTTCTTCTTAAAACTGGAGCTGCCTGTGCCAAGCAGGGCAAGGGGAAAAGGTTTCTATGAATGAGAGACAAAAACATCTGTCAGGAGCGGATTAGCAGAGCCTGCCTGAGAGAGAAGCAGAGGGCGAGGCCAACCTTGCACAGCCAGCTTGGGCTATTTGCTGGAGGAAGGCTGCAGTGACAGCAGAGAGCTGCATTAAGAGGAAAAACCCATTTAGCTGCAATGCCTGCAGCTGCTCGCAGAGCGGTGCTGCTTCCAGTCCTGACATTCCACTGCCATCCCATTCACCACCGAGCACGAGCAGCCAAAGGGAGCGTTTTTCCTGCACTCATCTCAGAGAGCACTGCTCTTGCTCTGTGGCCTCCTGGGAAGTGTAGTTCGGTGCCAGCATGGCCATCATGGAGCACACAGGCTGAGATATCAGCTGGGATATAGCAGCAACTTCCTGCAGCATCATGAGGGTGAGCTCGAGCACATAGGAGGCACAGCTGGAAATAAAGATCCAGTATGTGATGGTGCCCAGAGCATCGTGCAAGGGATGGCACAGGCTTGTGCTCACCTGCCTGCTGAGTCAGGGCCTGGCAGCACGGGATCTGCAGCTTTCCCAAGGGAAGGGCTTCATGACAAGGAGAGGGGAGGAAAGTCCCAACCAGCTGGGTGCAGAGTATGACCCAAACTTAGCAAACCTCAAGGGTCTGGAAAAAATTAGCCTGTTTTACACACTCCTCAGTTTGGAATATGAATGTGTTCAGGTTTGGGAGTGTTTATTCCCAAAGGAAACCTCTGAATTGTCTGCATTGCTTCCCCTGGTTATTTATTTCCAAGACCGTTTTCTTTCTTTCACACTAAGGAGATGTGAGTTGCATCCAGACTGCGCCTCCCCATTTTCCTCCTCAAAATGATAACAGTCTCATTTGCTAAAGGCACTATTAGGGTATTAAGTGAAAATGAATTAAGTTTAATTCAATTGTTATTTTAGGAGCTTTGCCTCGTCAGGGTTTTGTAAAGCTTCATTCTTCCACTCGCTGGAGACTGGCTTTAACACGCTCCTGCTGTGCTGTTGCTGCAAGCCACAAACCCATCACGCTGGGAGTTTTACTTAATGCTAAGGGTTGGATTTTATTTTGCTTAATGTCAGAGCCTTCCTGCCATGCTGCTGGGGGAGAGGGGAGGGCCAAAGACCGCTTAGCTCGAGTCCATCATGAATTAGAAACTGGAGTGGCTGTCAGGCTGCGATTGCTTCGGCATAACCCCATTGCTCATCTCCACCACATCAGTGCTCCTGCTCCAGAGAGCCCTCCTGCAGCTGGCAGGCACCTGGAGCATTCTTATTACCTGGGATTTGTTTGCTCTTTGGATTGCCCAAGGAAGCAGAAGAACCCAGGCGTGTAGCAGTGTCTGCCCTGTGGGAACTGTGCTCCAGTGATGGGTGAGCTTCATCGCTGAGGAGGAACTTCTAGGTAGGCAGTGGACCTGGACTTTCTTGGGACAGACAGCCATGTCTTTGCCACGCGGACAGGCAGGTTACTGTGTGCCCTTGATCACAGTGGCCTGTAGAAAATAGAGAAAATTCACATTCTTACACAACGCAAAGGCATAAAGGAGAATGCGACACAGAAGGGTGAGAAAAAGAGACTCAGACCTCCCCCTAAAACCCAGCAAAACCCCATTTCAGATGAGCCATCTGTTCCCTATATCTTTCAGAGTTGGTTTGAGCGAGCCATCGCATCTGTCCTGCCTTCCCCTCCAGTTCCCACAGCAGAGAGCAAGGCCAAGACCCCTCAGACAAGCACACACCCTCAGTGCTGGGACACCTCTGTGTCAACAACAGCAAGAAGCAGCACCAGTAGCAGGGCTCCCCAGCCCCTAACCTTGCTCAGAGCCAGCGCCTAGGATTTATGGAAGGAAAGCTTGGCAGTGACCTCTGCTCTGCTCCAGCACCGAGCGCGGACTCGGATGGCATTACAGCGTGATGTACGGCCAGCGGCTCTGCCGGGCAGTCTCTTGTGAGCGATGGCTTGCGATATTTCTGGAGTTTATACCTAGCTCTCCAGCTCGACGGGCCTTCTGGATATGATTTGTGCCGTATGTAGCTCTATAAATATTGAGCTCAGAGCATTATATATGGCGACAGCCCTACAGCACTCCAGGTGATATATCCCTGCGTTTGCGGTTGTAGGCGAATAATTTTAGTTTGAGTGGTGTGGCAATGAGAACAAGGAGGAAGTAAAATAAAAGGGTAATTCATGACCAAGCAGACGGTAGAGAGCGTGTGAGATCTGGCTTATCCTTCAAAGCCTTTCCCACCAACTCATTCAGGAAATTGATAGCTGGAGTCATTCCCCAAATTAGTTACCCTATCCCAGTGCGCTGCTGGCTGCAAAACAAAGAGGTGCCACTGAGCTCCCACCCTGCATTTCTAAAGCAGAGGAGGGGAGGTGCAAAGCAAAGGCAGGGGAGGAACAGGGCTGAACCCCCCCCAGGACAACCCCATGCATGAGGCTGCTAGGACATGGAGTCCTGGGCTGCTACCAGCTGCTCCTCATTCTCCAAACTCATGGAAGACTTTGGCAGCGCCACCCTGGGAGCCCTTCCTTACAATCCACCATGTAGATTTAGGTACAAGGGTATTCTCCTGGCTATAGCTTAAGTCACCCCACATTGCTGCAGCCCACGTGCCATTTCTCCCCTCATAAAGCCCCAGAACATTCCCTCACTCCAGCCACAGGTGAGCAAAGAGGGCTGCCATCCCATCACTGCACACTTTGGAGGGTCCTTGGGACCAACCTGGGAGCCCAATGCCCATCTCCAGGGGAGAACTGAGGGCAGGTTTCATGCCATGCCCAATCCCCCGCTGTGCTCTCAGGCACTCAGGTGCCAGTGCCCACACGAGGCTGGCAGTTCACCCCATCTGGGCTCAGAACTTTCACCTCCACCCTGGCATCGGAGCTCAGCACTTACGTGGAAAGGGCATCCACAGCTGTGGGTGATGAGGGCAAATGAATCAACACTGCTCCTTGGAGAGAGTGAGGCAGAGCCTGTAATTAATTGTGAAACAGGTGAGTGAACAATCACACAAAAATGGCAAGAGGGGGAAGGACAAGGACCCGGGCTGCTTCCATACTCTCCAGCAATCCCCATTCTGTATCTATGTGACCTTCCCAGGTGGGGACAAGGATAGGGACTGCCCATGGCACACAGTGTGGTGGGGAGCAGGGCAGCAGCAGAAGAGCGCATTTGAAAGGAGCTGGAGTAGTTTTCTCTGATTCTGTAAAGGTCAAAAGAGGGTAACAGTGCAGCTCTGCAGCACTGTGATGGGGCAGGGACTGCAGCTGTGTGCATCACAGCTCCTGCAGGCGTAAAGGATGTGTGAGCTGGTGTGGTTTCTTCCTCCAGAAGAGATTTAAGCTATACAGGAACAAAGTATATTCCCACTGGAAGCTGCTGCTCTAACCCTGAAGAGACACCAAGGGCTCAGTGAGACAAAACCAGATGGGGTTAAAGCTGCAGTTTCAACATGGCAAAAGTCTCCTAGGGTTGGGGGCTCCAAGCTCTGGGGCTCTGGAAAGGAGGCAGACCTGTCAAGTAAAGCACAGCCATGCAGCCCAAATCTCTTTGGTTTGCTGCCCTGAATGCTTCTTTGCAATGCCAGTGCTTTATGTTCTCCTGCCCTCCTTCCTACAAAAGGAAATAAAGCAGCTTTTGACTCTTCCCAGCTTCCCCCCACCTCTATTTTGTACACCAACAAGCCATGAGTGCTCTCAGGATGCGGTTTCATGCAGGTAACAGTGCAGGTGTGGCTCTGCTTGTCTGGGTATCCCCAGCTATGCTCATAGCATGCATCTCCTGGGCTTGGCACACATCCTGCTACAACTCAGCACCACTCTGCAAGCCCCCACTATTCACAAACAGGAAGGTAGAGCTTCCAAGGCTGACAAATTTGGCCAGAGGAGACACCTAACAGGTATTAGGTGAAGATGACAGGCACATTTCCACAGACTCACCTGGGTAGGCCCACATGAACAGCTTGCTTTTCTGTAAACAGGGCAAATAAATAAATAAATAGGGGAGAAAAAAAGCTTCACAGCTGCTAAATCATCCAGAAGATATTATTCCCAAATTTCAGCACGTTGTTTTAGATCACATTTTGGCCTCTGCCCTCTGGGCACCATTTCACTACTAAATGCACCGTGGAATAAAAATACCTAGTGATGGTGGAGCACAAATAATCCCATCTCAGACAGAATTACTTTTCTGGCAAAAACTGAGGAATGAACGCAGCTTTAAAAAGCAATAACTGGTTAAACAGACACACGCATACGAGCAGACCCCATTAAAGTCATTTGATACGAGCCAAGGAAAAGCATCTCTAAATCACATAATTATTTTAAGAGAAGACACATTTGTTTAAACTGGTTCAAATCACCTTTGGGGAGGGAGGGCTTGCGTCTGCCCCATTAAATGCTTTGATTTCCTGCAGCTCAGCCCAGACTCCTACTTTAATAGCATTAAACGTATGAATGAGATAATAAAATACAGGTGATTTCCTTGAGCATTATTGACAAAGAAAGAAAGTCACTGCTTCCTTGTTTATCTCTTTTAGCTTTTTCTGCTTTTCCTGGAAGACGCGTTCCACGCACTCAGCTTCTTTGCACCCAAATCCCATTGTTTTAACCCAAACTCCCCCTTCCCCGTGCTGGAGCACTCGCACCCGAGGCGTGATGCAGGGGGCGGCCCGGAGCCCCCTTCCCGCGTCCAGCCGGGCTCAGCCCCGCGTCCCCGAGCAGCCCCTAGGTGGAGCCCGGCACCCGCAATTGCTGCAGGACGGCCCCGCAGCCGGGGATGCTCCAGGGCCGCCTCCCCCTCCTGCACAACGGAGAGGGCGTGGAGCTGGGGACCCCGTCCTGCGTGTCCAACCCACCCGTGGGTGGCTGCAGGAGAGCACCGGGAAGGAGGAACCGTGAGCTTAGAGCCACGCAAAGCAGCACTGCCAGGAGAGCCCCCTCCCTGCCACCACACGGGTTTGCATGGCAGAGTCTCCACTCCCCCATCCCACCGGGATCCATTTGGGCTGCCGTTAGGGATTTCCACAGGAAGGGGAGCCGGATACTCAGTGCAGAAGTTCAGCAGCACAGCACCCTTATTTTGGCAGCATCTCCCATCCATGAGTGCTCTCAGGACTTCTTTTCATGCAGGTAACACTGCAGGTGTGGCTCTGCCTGCCTGGGTTTCCCCTGCTGTGTTCACAGGTTCATCCCCCGGGCTTGGGGCACATCCTGCTAGAGAAATCAACTGCTGCAGGTTTGCTTATGTATTGCTCCAGGGGACTCGTGTCCTACAGTCCTAGAGAGCACACTGTGCTCTGTGTGCCACCTCAGGACAGGTGTGTTAACCAGATCCAGACCCAGCAGAATAACTAATGCAGGTTTCCAACATTTGTTTTCCATGCTGGGATGGCAGCTGGGTTTCTGCAGGCATCTCCATGAGGATGAGGGTGCAAAGAGCACACTCAGCCCAGCAAATTCACATCCCTATGCAGCCACAACTTGCTGCATGTGTGCTCACTTACCTCAGTCACGATTCACACCCAGCACACTCAGCATCCCAGACATGGACTTGCACTGCTGACCACCGGCATCATGAACCCAGTGCTCTTTACCTAAATCCCAAAGAGGAGGAGTCCAGCAGCCACACACAGTCTGGGGACAGCAAGCATCAACTCCCAAACAACATCACTGCCCGAGCTCTTCCTCTTGCTGAGAAATGAAAACTCCTGGGAAGCAGAGCTCTCTCCATGTTTTCCTGTATCCCACCCATTGCGAGGCTTTCCAACTGTAGTTTTAAAAAAGAATATATTGATTGATTTTCTTTAATCACTCGTTTGTTATTTTTAGGCTACTGCTGTCTAGGAGACAGGCAGCTAACTGCAGCTTCTCACATTCTTTGGAGGAGAGCGAGTTTTCTCAAGCCTCTCTTGTTCCTGCTCGACAATCAGATCCAGGACACCTCACCTCCATCTCAACACTCAGTTTTTGCTCCTGAAACACAAGCATGGTTTCAGTTGGAAGCTCAGCTGGTGATTCGTGAGCAGTTTGCTGTTGCCCAGGCTGCCCCAAATGGAAAGAGGGGGAAGCCAGACATTTCTTCCCTGCTTCAGAAAAGCCAAGTTAACTTCTGCCTTTGGGAAGAAGAAATAATCTTTTGAATGTATTTTGAATTTTTACTTACATATATTTGTAGACTTCATTTAAAACAAAATGCTTCTGAGCAAAGGAGATGAACAGGGGCAAAGAACCTGCATCCTGATATCAGGTGAGAACTGACGTAACGTGATAAACTTTCTCACTGTAACAAAAAATAACAATAATGATAATCAAATCAGAGTCCCAGCTAGTTTCATAAAGAGATCTGCAGAAACAGAGGCAATCTGGAGGATCTGACTCCAGCAAAAGATTGCTGGGATCATCTATTGCTTTATGCACTTCTTTGCTTAATATCTGCTAAAAAAGCATTTTAAAAAGAACCCCAGATTTTCCCCACAAACTGAGATCTTTTCATTTATGAAGTTTCAAGATGGGCTATTCTGATAAATTCAAACCTTGTTCCACAAGAGGCTTTTCAAAGAAGCAAAAGCAAGTCTTCATCGTCACACAAAGAAATCAGCATCACTCAACAAGTACTTTTCCAGCAGAAAACAAAACAAAAATTAATTTAAGAGGTTCCAGCTGTCCTAGAACACCAGACAAGGTTTGCTTTGCCACACAACCCACCCAGCTTTCAGCAGAACAGCTTTTGCACTCCCAGCACCCCCAGAACCTGAGCTGCCCATGGTGGGGCTCTGCCCTCAGCAGTCCCTGCTCCCACCCAAGAGCACTGATTTAAGCTTCACAAGTTAATTGTGAGCACAGCCAAGTGATAGCAGCAGGAAGAACCAGTTGCTCACTAGGAGGGTTAAAACAAAATAACAAGAAAAAATAAAAATAAAAATCAACCACAACCTTGTAGCAGGCCCCACAGAGTTATGGGGGGGGGCAACAATCCTATATATTGCTGCTGGTGGGAGCAGATCCTCCCTTTATTATTAATTACAGCAAGCTGTGTCTGGGGCTAGGCACACCTGCCTGGTGATCCTCCCACAAACACCAGCTGCAGGTCATCCTGAGCTGTCAGGCAGCCACCAAACACCTCACAGACAGGACAGCACGGCCCCAGAGAAGCCAGATGCACCCTTACAGCCTGCTTGCAGGGATGCTGATGGAGCACGCTCATCTCTGTAGAACCACGGACCGTTCCTTCATCCCCAACCCAGGGCTCCAGCAACGCCCCCAGCCCTGATGGAGCTAAGGCAGCATCCCTCATTTGGATTGATTCCATGATTCTATGGATGACCCTGCTGCTCAGCTGACTGGCTGGATAGGGACCAGGCTGCTAGGCGGGGGTCAAGCTTTTAGTTGAGTACCAGGCTTGTAGCAGAGGGCCAGGCCACTCAATGGAAGCAGGGCCACTGATGGGGCCAAGCCTTTAATGGGGACCATGCTGCTCAATGGGAACCAGGCCTCTTAGTGCAGACCAGGCTTCTCTCTCCCCTGTGCCCATGGAGCTTGCTGAGCTGGGACTGAGCCTGGATGACCGCAGTCCATCCAGCTGTACTTCATCTCCTCCAGCTCCGCACAGATGTTTGGTATTCCTTTCACTGCTGTGCTCCCCACCCCCGCTCTGCCCCAACTCCAAATTTTGCCTTCAAAAGCTCAGCACATCCATAGCCAAACCAGCACAACCCGTTGCTTTTGGTCACATTTCATGCCAATTTTTCTCCTCCAGCCAAAGTTCTCTAGCTGGCTCTGTATTTCCTCAAGGCAGTTGGACAGATGCTGAAAAACCAACTTGCGCTAAGTCCAGTTTCACATTTGGGATTTGCTACGTTGTGAGATAAGCAGAAGGGGGAAATGACTTTCAGCGCTTCTCGGTGCAGCCGTGTTCCTGCTCCCAAACTGGTACAGCACAAAAAGCGAACTCAGCCGGCAGTGAGGTGAGCACAGCCCCAAGACGTTTCTAAACATCCAGCTGTGTCACCACTCTGTGTCGTTGCTTATGGATTTAATTCCATCGTGTTTCAGGCAACTTTTATTGTCTGGGCACAGCCCATCGTGTATGCAGATAGCAACATCCTCTCACCACAAAACCAATTTTAAAAATGAATCCAGGAAAAAAACACTTTAACAGAAACCCCTTCCAGCAGCAATTGCTGCCAGAAAGACCAGACAAGAATTCTTCCGTCTCTAATGTTACATACATTGTTGTTTCATACCGAGATCCTCTTTTTTTCTTTTTGGTCTTTTTTAAAACAGGAAAGATTGATAAGAAAAGGAGGAAGTCAACAGTCTCTAGCAGAAGGTGTAGCTAAATATTGTATCTAAGCACACGCCCTCCAACGTGCATTATCATACATTCAGCTTTGCTGGGAAACATTTTGGAATACGAAACGAGTAATGTGGATATTATAAAATGGCTGTCTTGGAATTAGATTTTAAGATATTGATGTGTCACGATAATAAAATAGAAAACACTTTTAATATCAACGGCGAGCGGTGTGATCCCTTCTGTATTTATTTCGCGGCCGTCGGTTTCTTTTTTCTGCAGGGAAACCTTGGAGAGGAGAACGTGAGCCCCGGCCCCAGGCAGCAATGCCTCCTGGAGGTGAGGCCCGAAGCACAGCCATCCCACTTGGGCACGCACTGAACACGGAGCCTGGCCGGCTCCTGCAGATCTCACTGTGGCATCAAACAATTTAAACAAAAGGCTTTTCTCAATTTATCTGAAAAAAAAAAATAAAACCACCCATGACTTGTTTTATTCTCTTTCTTTGTAAGTGGGTATCTTTTAAAGATATTCCCCCAAATCCGTGCTCCTGTGCTTTCTCTCTTCTTTTTTTTTCCACTTTTTTCCCCTCTTCTTTTTGCTTTTAGTCTTTCCACCTCTGCAGATGTTTCTCTCTGCACTCATTTTTGTGTTGGACTGCAGGGTAGGAAAATCCTGAAAGACCACAAGTACCGAATCCGACCCTGCAATATTTGGTTTGGGGAAAACAAAACCAAACCCCAGCAAATGGCTTATTCGTACTATCTCTTCTCAACCTCCCCGGGCTGCACTGCCCACCCCAGGACCGAGCCCTGATCTTCATGGTGGCATTTCTCTGGCCAGGAGCTGGGGCCAGCCGGGTTGCAATCCTCACACAGCCCCAGCTCTGAGGGAAGGGCCGGGCTGGAGCCAAGGTCACATCCCTGGGGGTCTCCCTTGGGGGAAGCAGGATGGAACTTTCCCACCCATAGGGTTTTCCTCCTCCTGCTCGCGGTGATGTCCCAGAACCAGCTGAGCACGGATGGAACACAGAGTAATTCCCCATCAGGGAATAATTCCCCCTGCTGCTGCTGGAGGTTTCCTTCCCTTCAGCCCTGCTTTCTGCACAGACCCGCTGCTAACAGCCAGCCCCAGTGCTGTGTGTGCCGCTCAGGGAATTTCCCCACCCGCGCTGAAGGCAGAGCCCCACAGTTCCTGCAATTAACACAGGTGCTCTATGCACAGCCAGAGCCTACAAACAGCTCTGGGACGGGGAGCTGAACCCACCCAGAGCTCCCAAACCCAGCAGACTTAAGCAAAGCCAAACGGAAAAAACACTAACTCTATTTTCATCTTAAGCAGCCGAGCCTCCCGCGCCAGCTCCGATCCACGTCTCCTCTCTGGGATCTAATAGGGAAGCGCAAAGCACTCCATGATTTATTCAGTACCCCAGAGACCTTTTTTTTTTCATCTTTTATTTTTCGTTTCCACATAAATTACACAAGCACTTTATAAAATGAATACACAGAAAACACCTTATAAGTGCATAACTTAAAAAAAAAAAAAAAAAGCCTTAAAAAAATCTCACTGAAAATAGGATTTCTGCTTGCTTGCCTGTACTAGCTGTTTAAATTGGCAGTGCTGTTTTAGATTATAAGTAACTGAAAAATATATACTGTATATATAATATCTATATATTCCCGGCGTTCGCTATAGGAAGTGCTTTGCTTAATTGTGTCTCATTCCCTCAGAACAATTAAAGAAACAACAAAGTCGGAAGTGAAATCGATTTTCGCCCTCGCAAACCGCCTCATAAAGGGACAGGGGTAAAACAACCCATCGGGCCACGCTTTGCAAATGATATGGAAATAACCCACGGAGCAGAGCGGCAGCAGCCCTGCCAGCCGGGCTCTCCTCATTATTAAAGCCCGGGCTGATCGGCGCCGCGGCCATGGCGGCCAGGGACAGTTTGGGCTCTTGGTGTAATTGAGATATCACATTTACCGTCCTCAGGAGGCTGTCAGTTCCTTCGCTTCTTCCCCCCTCGCAGGAAAAAAATTAATGAAAAAGGGGAGGAGATGCTGCTAGGTGAGATCCAAAGGGCTTGCCACTGCTGCCAGCAGAAATTGCTGCTGGGAGGCCAAGAGATGGGTGGCTTTCTCCATCTGTTGCATCCCCAAACGTCTCCAGCGCCAAGGGCCCAGCATGGTGCCTGGCTGCACAGACACGCTTCCCAGGGAGCCGCGTCCTTTTGTTCCAATCAGTCCAAAGCGCGTACCTACAGACGCACATCATATATACATATAGTCCTATGGGGTGCCCCGAGTCCTGCAGAACACAGAGGAAGTTCCTCCAGCCGGGCGCTCGCCCGCGGCCACGTCTGTCAGGGCTCAGCTTTGTCTGGCAGCGCGTCAGGAAGTTTGAGGCCGGCACCAGAGACTTTTGGAAGAACAAAAGGGCTGGGGGGAGGCGAGCCGCTGCCGCTCCGCAGCCCTGCGGGCGGGGAGAGTTTGGGGGGCAAATTTCCCTTCCCCATCGGTCCTCGTAGAGGGATGCTCCATGGGACGCACGTGTGCCCGGTGACAAAGGGGACACCGCAGGTGCCAGCCCTTATTCGCAGGCAGAGGCGACGGTGGTGACGCTGGTGATCTTGGTGGAGTCGTCAGACCAGGGCTGGAGGTTCTGCAGGGCGAAGAGAGAGGAGTTGTGCACGCAGATGGGGTCGGCCTGGATGGGCTGGTTGATGGTTTTTTGGAAGGCCTCCTGCTGCAGCTGCATGAGGATGCGGTTCGCTTGCTGCCGCTCGGCCTCCCGCTCCTCCGCTGTCTGCCTCCTAGGAGAAAGGCAGCCATCAGGGAGTTGTGGGGAATGGAGAAGAAAAGAGGGGCTGGGGACACAGCCATGACCCCATCCCCACAAACTGCTGGTATGCCCCATGCACTGCGGGCTGTGGATAGGTTCTTTTACCTAAGGAATAATCACTCCCCCAGGCTAAGAGGTGAAAAGCTCCACTTTATTTCCGTCCCTGGGAGAAATCCACACAGGAATTAAAGCACCCAAAGGAACAAAGAGGGGACCACAAAGTGCAATTTCCTGCAATGCTGCAGCAGGGACCCAGGGGATGCCTGAGAGGGGTCTGTAGTACCCTGGCAGAGGGGGAGACAGGCAGCATCCCACCCCTACCCCACACTCAAATCTGCCACCTCTTTCCCTGGGCTGCAGTACTGAGATGGAAGCAAGCAGATACAAGGAGTAAACAGGACAAAAATCATGCCTTGCAAGCAGCCAAACATAGCCTAAATACTAGAAACACACAGAGCAACGAGAACAACCAAATGCCAGAAC